GAGTGGCCAATCTGGATCACCCTGGTCAGCTAGGACGACTGGAGGGGCCCAGATAGTCCCCTTAGCTTCATCTCCTGCCACTCCCAACCAGCTCTGGCCCTTAGCCCCAGAACAGCTGGGCAAGGCCAGGCACAGCAGGGGCACCCACACAAACTCTGGACTCCACCCTAGCCTTTCTTCTGGCCACCTCTGCCCCTCCCTTGCTCGCCCACTGGGGGCAGCAAAGCAAGAGCAGAAGCTGGGGGCAGCCTCCAAAGCCATTGCTGTCCTTTTCGTTCCAAAGGGAAACACCCACTGAGCTGGGCCTGCCAGGCTTGCCTTGGGGTCCAGGGTCCATAGGCCAGAGCAAGATGACCACTAGGTGTCCTGGCGGTGATGGGCACATGGCCTGGAGGAGGGTGGGGCTGGTAGGCTGCCTGCCAGTGGCAACCAGTGTGAGGACTTCAGAACAGAAAGGACAATAGAGGGCCCTACAGCCCTGGGGGAAGGCGATATCACAGTTGGGGTCAGTCTGCCTGCTGAGTGGGGGTGGAGACTGGGGCCTCTAGATGGAAGAGGCAGAGGCCCAGGGCAGAACTGGCCCAGGCAGGCTGGGACTTGCCAGCCAGACCCAGGTGGACCATGGGGGGAGGGAGAGAGGCTGGCTCCAGTCACATGTGCCGGCACTGCCCTTATTGTGGCAGGAGTGGAGTGGAGCTGGGGTGAACCCCAGGCTGAACTGACATTTCAGGGAACAGAGCCAGATAGCCCTAGACTCTCTTCTCCTCTCCCTTCCTGACTCCAACTGACCTCAGGCCAAGCCTCCAAATCTCTGGGAGCCCAGTTTCCCCCCAGTGGGCTCTTTATTTCCAGGGTTGTGGCCCAGGCCTGGCCTATAAGACCCTCTGGCAGACAGTACTATTTTTCGGAGGTTTCCAGCTGTGGGCTGACTCAGTTGACTAGACTCAGCTCTGCTGTCTCCTGGGGCTTGCTGCTTCCCACTGCCCTTGACCATGATTAGGGGAGGGAGCTAAGGGCCCAGTCTGAGTCCCCTCCCCCACAGCCATCTGCCAAGGCTGGGGGACAACTGCATATGTGGGACACACTTGCAAGCCCAGCCTGGTGCATGGCCTTTCTCCTGGTGTGTACTACCTGGCCTCTCAGGCAGGGAAGACAAAGGGTAGGAGGGAGCCCATTGGCCTGCCCCATAGTTGTAGCCCTGGAAGGTGCTCCATTCCTCCAGGGGCCCCAGCCAATAGGAATCACTCCCTACTCAGGCCCCTCTTAGCCAGGCCACCAGAGTTCTCTATCTCTTCTGTGCCTAAGGGTTCACCTCCCCAAACATGGGAGGGTGCCTGGAGGGAAGTATCCCAGCCAGGGTGGCAGGAAGAGGGGCTAAACCAGGCTAAGGTGAAAGGAGAGGAAGTCAGGAGTCAGGAGAGGAAGCTGGGTCTACTCTAGACCTTGCTCCTACAGAAGAACCCCATGCCCAGTATCAGGTCCTTTCCTGTCCCTGGGATCAAAGTAGTGGCCCCAATCTTGGCCCATCAGCAAAGCACTAGAGGTGCTTGTTGAAAATGCTGAGTCTCCGCCCAGCCACGCCTGACTTAGAATCCACCCAGGGTGGGGCCAAGGCAGCCACCTCAGAAACCACTAGACAGCAGATGTGTCCCAAGAGCTTTGCTAGGGCTGTGGTCCCCCCCCCACACATCCCAGGCTGGCAGTAAGTTGGGCAGGGTGGGCAGCTCTCCCACAAGTCCTAGTGTGCTCAGGGAAGTGAACCCATATACACGTATGTTGAGGCTTCAGCCCATCTCTGTGGACCCCGTCACAGCCCCTGGGAAGGGAGTCAACTGGGTAGAGGGTGGAGATCTGTCTCTTTCCAGCTGGTCACAGACACCCTGTCCCCAGCTGGGAGCAGGTCCTTTATTGCTCAGCACACAGTTCTGCTGGTCAGGGACACCCCATACCCCTTATCTGGGTGAAGAAAGGCCCACCCAATACCTCAAGGGATCCCCCTTTGGCCTCAGTCATCTGGTATAGAATATAAAACAACAATCATAACCCTAAATAGAGGAAGGGAGTCCGGAAGGCTTTTCTCTGCAGCCTCAAAAAAGGCAGCCCCTCCTTCCACCCAGCTCAGGGCCTCTTCTCTGGAATCTGAATTCTCCACTTGGGTGAGGAGCCTTCTGCCTCCCTTGGGATGAGGAACCTGCCTCTGTGGCTGGAAGGCAGCCAGGAACAGCAGTCTCCCCGCAGGCCAGTCAGCCTCCCCTAGAGCCCCACCCCAAACACCTCCCAGAGAGCTCCAGCCCCAGCCCCAACATCTGGTTCCCCAGTCACAGCTGTCACCACCCTCCCTTATCCAGGGATTGCCCCAAACTCTGAGCAGCACCAGTGTGTGTGTGTGCACGCGCGCGCATACACACACACACAGCCCAAGAGTAAAAATCGTATTCCTGGCAGTACAGACGGGTGGATGGAAATGCACATGGGAAAACATCTACACATTCTTCATTCTACACTGAAGTTTAGACCCTGGGAGGATTAGGTGGTAAGAAGACACTCCCTCTGCCTGCCCAAGTCAGGAGGAGAGGGGAACTTAGGGTCCAGGCCTCCATCCAGGAAGGGCCTGGCAGACTTTGTCTTCCTACCACCCAGCCAGTCACCCTCTGCTCCCCCCACAACATGTACTCCCTGTGAGGGGAGCCCAGGCAGGAGAAGAAATCACTGTGGCTATCCATTTGCAGCTGGGCTTTCTAGAAACAAAAGCTTTGGGGGGACATGGTTCACATGATTGTTTAGAATGAGGTTTTGGGATGTCTGTGGCATCCAGTTATTCATACTGGCTCCACCCACGGATAATTGAGAGTTGGCTTTTGTTGGACTTACACCCTAGACCCACCCCACCCCCACCTCCCAGGTCTTCTCATGGACTCTGGGACTCTGATGCTCAGGAAGCTTACACTGTCTGACCCTTTGGTTTTATAGATGAGGAAACTGAGGCCTGGAAAGGGGAGGAGTTTGGCCCAAGGACCTCTGGACATTGGTGGCAGAGCCAAGACTCAAACTCAGGATATCAGACTGCAAAGCTAGGAACTTTTCCCACTGGCCCTCCAGGCTACAGCCTGGCTCCAGGTAATCCCCAAAGCCACTGACCCCCAAAGCAGTGGGCCTGGAAGTAAGGTGACTCACTGTTTGGCTTCCCAGGGCACCCTCTCTCCACTGCTGAGGGAGGGACTGGCAGGTGTTTGTGTAGAGAGCTAAGAGCAAGGAGAGAACCCCCCTAGGGGGCTTGGGCCAGGGTCACTTAGGGGCCAAGGAGCCCCAGCTGGAGAGATTTAACACCAAAGGTCAAAGGTCACAGACAGGGCAGAGCAGGCAGGCCTAGAGGGTCAGAGGGTCAGCGCTAATGGCAGCTCCGGAAAGGAGGGGGAGGAGAAAAGGCTAAGAAAAACAGGGCTGCTTCCAAGGGGTCTCCACCCCCCAAAACAACAATGCCCAAGCCCCTGGCATGGCCTCCTGCTTGGCTGGCTGCAGACAGGGCCAAGTTGAGCTGGAGGTGGATTGTGAATGGGCTGGGCTGGAGCCAGGCAAGGGGTACCCCAGGTACAACCCCTCCTCCAGGGCAAGCAAGGCCATCTAGGAGGCCCAGCCTGGGCCCAGAGGAGCAGGAGCAGAGGGGAAGGCTCAGAGGTCACCAGGGAGGGATGTGTGGGCTCTGCTGGGACAGCTGGGACAGCTGTGGCACTGTGAGCACCAGAGCCAGGCTTGAGGTGGGAGGTAGACCCCAGAAACCTGTTTCCTGTGCCCTGAGCCCTCAGGGAGCAGCACCTCTCTCTGCTGTCTTCCCCAGCCACAGGCTCAACCCCACCTTCTCTCCAGGATGCCAGGACACACAGGATGGTGGCCTGCTACCAGGGTGACAACCTCCAAGTACCATGGCTCAGGTCCTGTCCCTGGCTCAGACCAAGCCCAGGCCTTGGCCAGGCCCAGCTGGCCTGGCTGCCCCCTCAGTGTCAAGCGCTCCCTCCAGAGCCAAGATCCTGGACTGTGATGGCTGGGGGCCCAGGGCTCCTCCCAGTGTCCCTTCCAGCTTCCCAGGCCCCAGGGCAGCACCAGGCTGCTCCCTGAAACCACTGCTTCCCAGCCACCCTCTGGCCAGGTTAGGCAGGCCCTCCTGGACAGGCAGACAGGCAGCATGCTGCCTTGCTGTGGCCCGAGTGCCCTGCTGGGCAGGGCAGTGTGCCAAGGCCTCCAGGTGCCAGCCTGGATCCCAGCCTCATCCCAGGGGGCCAGCAGGAGAGCAGGCACAGGCTTCTGCCTCCCCTGGGATGCACCTGCCTCGCCCCCTCCTCCCTCGTCCGCTCCAGACCGCCTCCGGCGAGTTTGGACACCCCTGCCATCTTCGCTCAGCCAACCCCCTCTCCTGCTTCCACCCAGACAACAAGGGAAGAATAAGTGCGGGACAAGACTCCAGTTCCCAGTCCCCACCCCCGGGGACGCCCCCTCTCGAGGTCCAAGGAAGGGTCCAGGCTTGCTAGGGGGTCCGCAGGAGGGTGACTTTCCGGGACAAGGGAGGAGGAAGCTTTCAAGCCCTTCCTAGAGACTGCCCGGAGCGGCCGTGACGAGGGGCGGCTGCCCGGCAGCCCCAGACAACTTCGTGCCCAGGCTCCCGGTGACCCCTCCCACCTCGCCGCTCGCCCCCACCGCAGCCGCCCAACTTCCTAGCTGAAGTTTTCGCCCGCCCGGGGCCTGGCCCCGGCTCGGCCCGGCCTCCAGACGGAGGGAGGGAAGCAGGGAGAAGAAAGAGAGATCCAGAGCCGGGGCTGGGAAGCCGGCGAGGGAGGGAGCGCGCGAGCCAGCAAGCAAGCTAACCCAGGGGCCTCGGCGAGGGCTCACAATGGCCTGGGGCGCGGACGCAGGAGGGGGAGGCGACCCTCGGGTCCTGCAGCCCTCGCGCGACAGGCGGGTCCCCCCCCGGACCCGGTCCCCAAGGAGTGACGCCCGGGGGTTCCTACCTCGGCGGCAGGGGCGGTCGGGCTCCGGGCTGCAGGCTCCGGCAGTCGGGGGGCGGCGGGGGCACGAGCAGGGGAGGGGCCGGGGCGGGCGGGGGCCGGGGCTCGAGGCTCACGGGGCGCGAGCTCCCCTGGCACAGCCGCCCGGCGCCCGGCCGCTCCGCCACATCTGCAGCTCGGGCAGGGAAGGTGGCCGCGGCGGCCGGGCAGTGCGGGGATGTCTTAGGGAGGAGGGCAGGAGGGAGGAGGGGCGCGGGGGGCGGCCTCCCTCCCTCTCTCCCTAGCTCACCCGCTCCCGCCCTCTCAGCAAACCCCTTTCGCCGCTGCGGCCCCAGGCCCGGGGCGCCAGCTGCCAGGCGGGGCGTGCGCGTCTGGAGGAGGGGGCGACGAGGCCGGCGCTGGGCGGAGGGAGGGGGAAGGGAGGGCGGTACGGCCGTGGGGAGCAAGCACCGGGAGGGAGAGAGCAGGGAGGGGGCGCCCAAGCCGCCGCAGACCGTGCGCGTCCTCCTGGACCCCATGCTCGCCCCCACGCGGCCCCGCCCCCGGCCCGAGGGCAGCTCTAGGACAAGGCCTGGAGGTGGCAGGGGGGTAGGGAGGAGCTGGGGTAGCTGGAGATGTCCCGCCCTCGGGGAAGCCCCGGGAGGGGGCTGGGCCTGCGGGCCAGAGGAGAAGCCCCAAAGACTGGGAAGATGGAAGAGATCGCAGCGGCCGAAGGGGCGGGGACCCCTCACGATCTCCAGCGAGGTCACCTTGGCCAAGCCCCCTGTGGCCCCGGGCGGTGGGGAAGGCGGCAGGAATGATCTCCACAGGCCTTGATTTCTCCGCCCAGTCCAGTTCCAGGAACGCGCGGGCAGCGCCTGGTGGGCAGAGGCCCCAAGTCCCGATTCCCGGGCGGTGCAACCATGGTTCGAGGCCCGGCTCAGCCCCTGGCATCAGTCCCCGCCTTACCCTTCTCCTCAGTTTCCTTCACGGTGGACTAGGAGGACTGAACCCGACCAATAGGGCATCTGCTCAGTCCCCGTATCTTGTTCCCAGCAGTTGGGACAACGGCAACCGGGAGCCTGAGGGCGACTGGGGTTCTTCATCCCTCCTGGGTCGGTAAGTGCAATGACTGGATACAGGCGAATAAGAGAGCCCCAAACCCGGCTGAGCTGTTTTCTACCTCCTTATGTTGAAGCACAGACTCGACTTCTAGAATTCGTTCTATCTGGGCTAATCCTGGACCTCCTCTCAGTTGTCCTGCTGCTGCTGTGCTGTCTGGTGGCACATCCTGGTTCAAAAACAGCCCTCCTTTACCAGGCGAGGTGTCACATGTCTATATTCCCAGCTACTGAGGAGGCTGAGGCAGAAGGACAGCTTGTGCTCAGTAGCTGGAGGCTGCAGTGATCATGATTCTGTCACTGCACTCTAACCTGGGCGAGAGAGTAATACCCGGTCCTTAAAATGAAAACAGAAGAAAAAAACTGGCCCTACTGCGCTTGGCCAACCCTGCACTTTGCTGTTGGCCTTGAGGAACGAAGAGAGGAAAAGACATTTTAGAATCAGTATCTGCTCTAGACAGAAGAAGTAGAGCGCCTGACTGGTCCTAATTCTGTCTTCATTCCTGCTTCTCATGCCTCAGTCTGGTCGGGCGCCCGAGCCTGAAGGGTGCGGGTCTTGATTATAAGCCATCACCAGTGCCTGGCACTTGACACATAGTAGGTGTTCCTAAGCTATTAGCTGGATGCAATAGATGCTGGTCATATTTTGAATATAGTAAGTGAATGGGCAGCCACACAGTAGGTGCTCCTAATCCATCCTATGGACACAGCAGTTCATTATATGTAAACTAATAGACAGAAATTAGTTAGGTGCTCATGATCTAGTGCGTGAATGAACACAAAGTAGGGGCTCATAACCTGTTGGTTGAATACAAGAAAGGTATTTAGGATTCAGCGCCCATGGCTCAGTGGTTAGGGCACCAGCCACATACACTGAGGCAGGTGGGTTCGAACCCTGCCCTGCCTGCTAAACAACGTTGACAACTGGAACAAAAAAATAGCTGTGCGTTGTGGCGGGCACCAGTAGTCCCCAGCTACTTGGGAGGCAGAGGCAAGCAAATCGCTTAACCCCAAGAGTTTGAGGTTGCTGTGAACTGTGACACTACGGCACTCTACCGAGGGCGACATAGTGAGACCCTGTCTCAGGAAAAAAAAAAAAAAGGGATTTAAGAAGGATCTCCACCTGAAAGGCCAGGAAGGTGGTGATTTGGGGGTGACCGATCCCGACTCCGCCCCCACCCCAGCCCAGTCTCCAGAGTGTGGATAACGTGGAGCGTGGCCGGGTTAACCATTATCAGACAGATGGGCCCCAGGGGGAAGGCCAGCTTCGGGACCTAGCACTTCCTGGAGGGGGATGTTAAAGGCCGGCTTTCCAGGTCCGGAGACGAGATCGACTTTCCACAGGGGCTGAGGCTGAGGGCCACATAGCGCCCCCTCTCGGCGCCGGGAATCGCTGCGGCTCAGCCGGCCGCGCACCCCTGCAGCTGCCGTACGATCTCACGGTCGGATCTCTGCCAGGCGGAGCTCCAGCCCTGGGGAATCCAGGTGTGTACAAAAAAAGGTACATAGTGCCTTATTTATTTATTTATTTTTGAGACAGAGCCTCAAGCTGTCCCCCTGGGTAGAGTGCTATGGAATCACAGCTCACAGCAACCTCCAACTCCTGGACTCAAGCGAGTCTCCTCCTCCGCCTCCCAAGTAGCTGGGACTACAGGCACCTGCCCCAACGCCCGGTTATTTTTTGGTTGCAGCCATCATTGTTGTTTGGTGGGCCCGGGCTGGATTCGAACCTGCCAGCTCAGGTGTATGTGGCTGGCGCCTTAGCCACTTGAGCCACAAGCGCCGAGCCTATTTATTTATTTAAAGACAGAGTCTCACTATGTTACCCAGGCTACTCCTGGGCTCAAGTGATCCTCCTCTCTCAGCCTCCCAAGTAGCTGACTACAGGGGCCCACCACAGTGCCCGACTTATTTTTCTATTTTTAGTAGAGACTGGGGTGTCTCTCTCTTGCTCAGGTTGGGCTCCAACACCTGAGCTCAAGGTATCCTCCCACCTCCACTTTCCCAGAGTGCTAGGAATATAGGCATGAACCACCACTGAGCTGGCCAGAGGCTAGTTTAAATGTTAGCAAATTATTTATGGAGTGCTTGCAGGAGTTATTTCTTTTTATTTCTTTCTCCTTCGTCTTTTTTCTTGGGGGAGGGAGGCTGTTTGTTTTTTAGGCTTTAATCCAATCTGAAGCTTGCAGGAGACAGACCTCAATCAAGTGACCAGAGAAATCAGATGTCCTCTGAACCGTGTGGGAGACTGGATCACAAGAAACTTCACCCTCCAGGGTCTTTCTCAGAGATTGTTTTTCTTTTTTTCTTTTTTTTTTTTTGGCACCTGCCACCTCCGGTATATGGGCAGGCACCCCACTCCTTGAGCCACAGGTGCCGCCCAGAGATCATTTTTCTGTATGTTGCTCCCAGAAGAACTCTGACCTGAGATCTCAACTTCTTCCCAGTTCTCAAGTTTGAATGGAGAATGACAGTATGTCCTTTCTCAGGCTGTTGTGAAGATTGAATGAGGTACTCTCTGAATACATGTTAACATTCACAGCTAGGTGTCAAGCCTGACCCTGCTGGTGTCTGTTTTGCTGCCAGTAAACCTGTAAACTTGGCTATTTGACACCTGCAAAACCAACAAGAGGGAAGAAAGAACTCTATAATCTTGGTGGGTTCACCCAACTAGAGCCCCCCAATTCTCAGTCAGACCTTTCTCTCTAGCAAATATTTTATTATATTTATAACAACCTTTAGGATGGCTCCTATTGTGATTCCCATTTTACAGAGGAAGAAATTGAGGCACAGAGAAATTCACTCATATAATCAAGGTTTTATAACTAGGAGACATAGTCCAGATTGCCATCTCCTACCATCAGTCTGTGGTCTGATTCCAAACTACATGGTCTAACCCACTATTTCCCTGGGACATCAGATCTGGCAAATTAGGGGCAGGGATATCCTAGAGAGCCAGGCTCTGAGCTGTTTTCTCTGGTCCTGCTTTTCCAGGACAAGAAACAGCACCTGCTATAATATCCAGGACAGGTCTCTAGATTTCTCTTTCTTAGTGAAAGGTAGGGAAGAAGGGATGCCCTCCCTCCTTGCCGTCATGGTGGGCTTCCTCTGGAGGGAGCATGATTTTCCCTGTTATATTGTAAGTTCCCAAGGAGTATGACTCAGGGACATTGTCTGCTTTGTCACTCTCTGCGAAGGGTCCTGCATAGTGCCTGGCATATAGTGTTTTCTGAATATAGCTGATTGATATATTTTGCTGGGCTACACATGCTTCCCTAATCCTTCACCAATAAACATTTATTTAATATATTCTAGGTTCTTGTTCATTCAATAGATGCTTATTAAGCTCTCGAATGTGTTCATTCAACAATACTTATTGAAGGTCTACTGTGTGCACTAGGCTAGGCAACCCACCCATGCCTTCAAGGAGATCTTTTCGTCTAGTGGGGACCCCTCATCTGTCAGTACCTAGAGGGGACATAATTCACTCACACACACATGCACCTGCCCACTGCAAGGAGGACGTCCTGCACAATGTAGGAGCTTAGTAAATGGTTCTTTTTCTTTCTTTTTTTTTTTT